ATATATCCCCCCCCCCCCAGAAAAAAAACTTATATTTTTACCCAAAAGAATTTTGTCGAGAAAATTTATAATGGAAATACTGGGAGGAGAAACTGCCCCACTGGCCTTTCAGATCAGGGTGTGTGGAGAACTGTGACCAGTGTGGTCAGGCTGCCTCAGCTCAGGGGTCTATCTTCTGCCTTTCTAGTTGGTGCGTAAATAATGGGCTCCTGGCAGACTGTTGACGCGTGACGTGGAGACAGACCGCCTGTAAAAGAATGCGATGGACCCTCAGCCGCAGCCCATGGTATGTCGTATTTAACATGGTCCACATCTTCCGTTCAGCAGTACATCCCTCTCATGTTACCCTTGCGAGGTAACATAGCTAGGCACCGTTCCAGACAGTGATGCTGACCCCGAAGAGCCAGCACAGTTCCGCACGCAGGAAGGTTAGTGTTGTGTAGCTGTAAACATGTTTTCACAACACGGTGGATTGCAAAAATGATTTTTTGCAATGCACCTCTTAAGATTTTCCGACAGGTGTTGCACACTTTCCTGTTTAACCGTTCTTCGTAAAATGACCCATGTACTGTACCTGCGCTTGGGGAGACAAAGACAACGTCCGCACTTTTCAAGATTTTAGTGCACTTTGACTTTTGTATTCTATGATCTGTGCTCTTGCTTAATCATTGTTTATTTCTACAGCTTTGCTAGTCAAACAGAAGTACAGATTGAGTGTGGGCATAAGCACGTGAAAGGCTACGCATCACAAGACGGCATTTGGTCTTGTCCAGCTGCTTCTTGGAAGACATAAAAGCAGCATGTCCCACGCTCCCACAACCCCTTCGTGTAAAAGTGCCACCTGTCCCCATCCTCCTGTCTGGAGCAGTAGGGGAAACTACTACACCCCTGTAGTTTCCACTCAAGCCCTCTGGTTGGTGTTGCACTCTTGGTTCTACAGACGTCCAGTAGGTTGACTTTGTCAAGGCCTTTGAGGACTGAAGATTTGAAACGCCTGGGTCCACTCGTAGTCTCAGCTCTTTTGGCCTGTTGGAGTAGCATGTTCCTCTAAGCACAGAAATGGATCCGGTCACTCTTTTCTGGACCGATACCACAGTAACTATCTTTTCCTACCATGACCAGAACCGTACACAATATTCTCGAGGCCTAGCGTGTTGAACAGTTTGCAAGGAATCTGGAAACATAGAAGAGCAGTTGCTCAGCAGGGAGCTTTGCAGCAGCGTGGATATGAAATTCAGTACTGAGTAGGACCCCCTGCCCCATTTTAATTTCTCCAGCTTTCAGAAGGTCATTCTGTAGATGAGTGCTGGAAAAGTCTGGGCTGTGTGTAAAACAAAGCAGAGAACAGGAGGTCAAAGGAGGAAAAGATCTGCCGCACGTAAGATGTCAGATAACAAGGAAATGAATGCGATGATGAGCTGGATATAGATCTTGCATAGATCTTGTTAATTGATCATGCATTCCTTCCAAAAAAGATTTGTGGTTTACCATGTTTTCTCTCTATTTGAAAGTAAAATATGAAGCCGGTTTGAGGCTGACTCCATCAGTGAGGGACCTCTCTACACTACTCAGTTTCCAAAATATAAGTGCTTTCAGATATGAGAACTGAAACCTTTTGGCTGTGAAAATGTAGAAATTATTACTGGGATTTTCTTTTGATAAATAGGACTCAATGTTCACTACAAATGCAATTAAAATGACTTATAAATAGTAATAACTAAAACTGAAGAAAAGTAGTCTGCAGAATGGGTAGCTTCCCATGTGTTGCAAGTGTACTGAGCCACATGAGTTCAGTTCCCAGATGCACTTAGAATAAATATCTTGCACTCCCTTATTTACATATGTGCAACAGGGACTTTAGTCATTCAAATAGGCTGGGTTCAACAGTTTACATGTAACTAGTAGAGTCACATAACTGTGGCCAAAGTGACATGCTGCTTCTCATAAGAGTGGCTCAAGTAGGGGTTCTGTCTTGCAACTCTATTGAGCAGCCTCCTGTGCCACTTAGACTTGAGGCTCTGTGGACATCTGCTGTGGCTTGTAGCTCATTGAGCTACGATGTAAAAAGCTGACAAGCCCATTTTGTTTTAACCCTAACTGATGTAAATGATTTAAACTGCTCTAGATTAAAAAATACTTGCAGTTATTGTTAGATTATGAATTTAGCTTAGGACATACTATTTTTGCTAGAAACTATTAATTTATTTGGCTAATAGTTTAACCCAAAACAACTTACTTTTGTAACCAACTGGGCTTTTTATGTCAGTAATCCAAGGAAGGTCTATTGTTCAGAGGTGCAACAGCAGTTCCCTATATGGGATTTTAACCCACAGTCTCCCAGTTGAGTCCAGAGCCCTAATTACTGCTTAGCACTGGTGCCTCGGTTGATAGTTCAGTATTAACATCACAGTATTTATAAAATATAGGATTTTTGCTCTGAAATTTCATCCCACCCAAAAAAATTCAGCAACACACTGGGCCAGAGCCAGAGCCAGCCTCTTTTGTAACATAATTGTCAATCTTCATTCCTTTCTTGGGCAGCTTGACAGTGGCAGTGCCGTGTGTCCCCACCTGCCCCCGGACTGTGTGAAAGGACCCTCGGATGCTGTCCTTAGGAAGGTCTTTTCTCCATGCCAGAGGCCATTCACCTCCATGCTAGCAGGTACCTGAGCACAGTTAGCGCCACGCACCTTTTCACACACTCTTCTTACTCACAAAGCGTTCAGAGAATTCTTATCTTCTCCATCTGGTTTTTCTCGGGTTTGAGTTCTCTAGGCTGTTTACTGGCTCTCCAGTCTGCTGAGGCTACGAGGGAAATGCACGAAACCTCCAAAAAAACGTGGTTTTACACCTACGGCAAACCAGAAAAGCATTCAAAAAGAAGCTTGACATTTATGAGGTTTTGTGGCTCTTTAAGCAGTGAGGTTTCTCTCCTGTGTGCCAACTGAAGCACCGTCAGTTGCTTGTACCAAGTCAGTAGTAGTACCAAGAACTCATGTTTAGGCGGTAACCTTAACCTTCCCAGTGTGCCTTTACGTGGAAAGTGGTTCAAAGGTCAGAGCTACTTTCCAGATAAAGCATGGGGCACAGTGACTAAAGGGTGTTTTTGAAACATCAGTCGTGCTTTCTTTCCTTCTTGCCTTTAAGTCTGAGTCACGCTGGCGACTCGTTACAGGAGAATTCACCAAGCCGGCTGTAATCGGATATTACGGGAGCTCCCGGAGACTCTCGGCCACCCCGGAAACCGTGAAGGAGATCCTCCTGTCGGTCCTCGAGAGCTCGGGAGGGGCGACGCACCAGCCCCGGCCGCAGAGCCCCCCGCCAGCGGGGGC